GTTTTTCAGGGATGAAGAGAAAGAGGGACAGAGGCAAAGATGAATGGGAATTCAAACGTAGCTCAAAGGTCTACCGATTGTACTGCGGCTCTCTGTAGTGAGAGAGGGTCACTTTGACCTGCTCAGGGTGGGCATACGGTGGAGAGAGAGAGAGAGAGAGAGAGACATGGAGGAACAGAAAGAGAGAGAGAGATGACATCAGGGCGAAAAGGGGCTCAGGCTTTCATCTGCCCGCCGCTGGTTCAAACCACCACAGCTCTGAGAGGACACTGGTGTGTGTGTGTGTGTGTGTGTGTGTTATGTTCATATGTGTGTGAATTAAAACTGAAAAGACAAGAGAAGTGTTTGATGTATCTTATTCACAGTGACCAAACACTCAAATGAAAATGTGCACAAATGGCGAGTACTATTAGTAAGACAGTGCGTGTGTGTGTGTGTGTGTGTGTGTGTGTGTGTGTGTGAGAGAGTTAGAGAGAGAGGGAGAAACTGTCAATCTTTTCATGTGAGTCCACCTCCTACTTCCTCTCCTCCCTCATATCTAATGATTCACACTTCACTCGCAGTCCCACTGTCCTAGAGATTCACAGGGGGCCTGAGAATGTGCTCCAGTGAAACGACAGGGGTCACCAAACCTGGGGACACACTCTGTAGAATGTGTGTGTGTATAAGGGGTGATGAGGAGTCACAATCCTCAAATGAACACAAACTATTTCCTTCAAAAGGAATTCAAAGTGAAATAACTCCCATGTATGGATGGATGTTGCATGCATATGCAAGGAGGAGACAAGTTCAAAAACAAATCAGTGTAAAATAAAGCAGCCTATTGAACATTAGGTCACCATCATCAAGAAATCACAGAAGATTAAATGAATGCATGTGATCAGTTCAGCTTACTGGGCTCTATAATTATTTAGAATTTAATTTCCAAAGGTGTCTGCACTAAGATATTACACATTGTCTAATAAATCAAGTGAAAATGGAACAGGCCGTGGTGTCAATCAGCTATACTAGCCCCGCCCTTCTGTTGTTATTCCAGCTTCTCTACCTTGTGTTTTCAGAGCACAGTCCAGTAAATTAGCCCCCGCCTGCCACCTAGCCAAGGTTATGAGAATTGTTTTTCAAACCGTGAGCAGTCACTTCAAACAGCCAGTCATGGAGGACCTCTCAGCAGCTACAAGTCTGAAACAGTGCCAGACCAAAGAGGTCACGTTCTTTTGCACAGAGAGAGTGGGACAAAGAAAGAGTAAAGACCAGGGTTAACATGGGTTTGGCTTTTTTGAGATGGAGAGTGTTAAAAGCAGCCTAAGGACTCAGATTCGATCCAGATCTGTTATTCTTCCTTCTGGATGTTAGCATTCTAAAACTAATGTGTTTGATTTAGTAACACTAGTGACCTAGCATGGTCATGATTTAATCCTTTTTGAGTTTTCCATGTGAATTCATAGACTTTTTATTTTAAAAATCATTAGAATTTTGTGACACATTAGCAGTAAACAAAGCTCTCTGCTGTACTGACACGTGTACCTGTTACCAGCTCACGCTAGCTTCGGACTGGTGGCTGCATTTTGTACAGTTTGTCGCAACCAGGCACCTGTAGTTAACGTTGATGTTAGGAAAGAGGACACGATGGAAGGGGCAAAGCGCGGTTAGGAGTGGCTTATGGTGTCGGTTTGAGTCTCACTGGACCCTCTAGGCTGAAAACAAATGGGTAGAACAGCTTTAAATAAGACTAAGAGCCAGTGAAATAATATTGGACAGCAAATATGTAACATCATGTAACAAACTGCATCATTACATATTTTGGTGACACTGACAAATCAATAGAGCTGCAACCAATCATCTATATTAGCTCAAGCAGTCCAACACCCAGCAATATCCAGTTTACAATTAGATTAATCAGAAACAAACAATAGTACATTTATCACTTTAGAGTAACTGGAGTCAGGAAATATTTGTGACATTTGATTGGTGTATAAAAAATGAATTATAAACAGCATGTTTATTGTGTTTCACTGATTCAATATATCTCGCTCTCCTCTCCATGTGACCAGTATTTCCTTTGAGAGCGTGCTAGAGGCCATGTCTATTTGTTCAGCACAGAATAATTGAGGTGTAATAAAAAAAAAACTGGCCGAGTCTCAATAAAAAGGACCTGGCAGGCTACCAAGGAGAGGTGAGAGCCAAGGGAGGGCAGTGGGTATGAAAACAGTAAGGAGGGAGATAGGTTGTCCACATTCTCATTATAAAGCTGGTGAAGGTGAGACTTGTTTAAGTAACCTATAAAAACATAAGACCTCTAACCTTGCTGAGTAAAAATATCAATTTAAGGCCTTGGATTTAAGGAGTTTAAAATATTTTTTCAGGAGCTGCTAACTACCACTGCAGGAGACTAAAGAAGGGATACAGTAGGGCAGAGGGAGACCAAATGAACGAAACGCCGTGGGTCTGAATGAAAGGACAGACATGAACGGACTGAGTGAGCAGAGGTGTGCTTTGTATAGAAAATGGACGTATCCAGCTGTCCCTCCCATCCAGCTCTACTCAGAAACCCTTCAATCAAACAACTACGACCAGGCCTGACCAGTGTAGCATCCGCAGGCCGCTTTCATTCGCTCTCATTCATTCATTCATTCATCCATTTTTCCTCTCCTCCAGCGCTTTAAGCCTACCAATTATCATCAGTTGCCCCCAAACGGCCTCTGTCCTTGTTCCTGTTTCAGCTGGCCTTTCAAACAGCCCTGCATTAACAAGCCAGTTGTTACACATAAAAAGGGAGGTGAGCGGTCATTATTCAAAGCTCTCCCAGAAGAGAGAGAGGAAGCCCACGTTTCGCACCCAGGGAGAGTAAAAGCACTGCCTGCTATTTATGGGGCTGTCCAAGGGCCCGGGATGGGGGACTAATAGGAATAATAATAAAGGCTGTAATGGTGCTGGATATGAATAAAGTTGAAGACAGGAAAAGGTGGAATCACTCAAAGAGACACCATCCTTCATACACCTGTTCAACAGGATATCATTATTTAAATTAGAATGTTTGAGACCTTTTTCTGCTCTGTATCAAATGTGAAAGCATAAAAGAATATTTTAACATTTGGGGAAATACTCTTAAATCACTTTCTTGCTGAGAGTTTGATAAGATTAATACCATTCTCTCTATGGTACAGATGGGTGACATCTTAAAGGAAAATCCTGAATAAATGAGTGGAAATTAAAAAATACAGGAGTCACCAAGTCATTTCTTGATTATTTGATTTATCTTTTTATTTAAAGAATATCAAGAACTGGGACTTTCCAGGGTCAAAGGTGGTGTCCTCAAATGTCTTGCTTTGTCCGGCCAACAAACTCAAAGATATTTGTTTATTACCATTTTTGACAAAGAAAAACATCAGCTCCTCATATTAAAGAAGGTGAAACCAGGAAATGGTTATTTGTGCTTCGCATTAGCTTCCAGTTAATATTCCATTAATGAACTGCCTAATGGTTGCAGGTTTCTGTTATTATATGGCTTAATAAATATTAAAAAATCCGTGTTGTGCAGTTTTGTCATTTGTCTGTTTGAAGCTGTAACAGTTACCTTAGCTTTGCACATGCAGTGGAAATAGTTATAGCCTGGGTCTGTCAAATAGTAACAAAATTCACCTGTCAGCACCTCTGAAGCTAATTGTTGTATTTTCTGACTTGAAAGCAATATTGATCTTTTCATTGAACGCTCACCATGAATGTGAGCTAATTTCCAGAACCTATAATTAAGTATGCAGAATATTTTACTTAAGCTGGTCTGTATGTCTCCCTTAACTATCATGCAGCATAACCTCATGGGTTGACACGAACCATCCTACTGAGCTTTTCCATTGTATTTTTCTGTGTCTGTCTCTGTTTAGAGGAAACACACAATCGCAGCTGGGCAGAGGGAGAGCACAGGACGTGAAGTATCGCTTCACAGCTCAACAATCAGCCAGTTATACAGAGATGGATGAAGCAGTTTATCGAACAGCTGTTGAACAAGCAGAACATAATAGCATGTTCCAAACTGAACGAAGCAGCATATATATTGGCATATTTAGCAGGTTTGATACAAATCAAGTTTACACCGGTACGTACCGACACCAGGAAATAACCCTATGTTGTGCACAAAAGTCAGACACTGACAAAGGCTTTCACAATCTCCTGTCTACTTACTTGTTATATGATTCCAACTACAAGCTAAATAAATGAAAGCATTTCAACCATAAATAGTGTTAAAAACACACTTGGGTACTGTGTGACAAAGTTTAGCTTTAAGCAGAGGAGCAGAGGACACACACTTTACCCTCAACTCGTACCGTAGCTGTAACGTGCTGCTGCTGGCGCCATTCAGTACTTCAGTGTTGTTAGCCGTTTGCCTTAGCTTGTTAGCCTGCGGCTATTGTTTACCCTCAGGAATCACCATAATGATAGCTGCATGTGTTTGGCACAGACACTGTTCTGTATTACACTCATACCACACGCACAGCTTTTGATATAATCAATGGATTTTTTTTAAATGTATATTATCTGTATAAATGTGCTGGTGACCTACAGCTTATTCATTTGAAAAAAATATATATACACAAATAAAAACCAACAATATCAGGCAATAAACCATTTTATGATGTTGTAAAGGATCAGCTAAATAAAGCCAATGGGAGGATTAAAATGCTTTACATTAATGTGACCGGCCTGTCTGACCTGTAGTCTCCACATAGGAGCGTTCACTGGATACTGAAAAACTGAAAGGTTCGATTCATGTTGCCTGGTACGAACCTGTACATGTTCCAGGTAACCATAAGAATCGAACGTCCCAGCACTAGAACCCAGACTTTGTTTATGAATCGTGTGACCAAAGTGAACATAACTCAATTAGACCAACAGCACAGAGGAAACTGAGGCTGGTAGCATTAGTTTAATTGTTCTCATTATCAGGTCATTTAATCCAAGAGTGTGTGTGTGTGTGTGTGTGTGTGTCTGTTTTTAAATCTCACCTGCACATCTGAAGCTCTGAGCAGTGAGCCCCTTCTCCACAGCCAGACATGTGAGAATACTGAGGAAACTGGTGGTAACTGACTGCCGCTTCGCTCTCTGGGCCTCCCGCTGCCTCCTCTCTCGGGATGGCTTCGATCTCAACAGCACTCCCTGCAGGCCTGGAGCTCCCTCTCCCAGTTCTCCTCCTCCTTCTTGTGCAGGCTTCTGTGCTGCAACTGTCTGCTGCAAGGCTTCCACCCATTGCTGGGCCTTCAGCCGACTGTCTGCCCGAAGTTGGAGTACCTCTTTGGGGAAAGCTACTTGGAAACACTCCCCTCTATTCTCTCCGTTCTCTGGTTCCTGACTTTGCTGCACAGCCAAGCAGGAGACCAGGGAGTACTGGAGGACAGGCTGAGACACTGATCCACGGCCTTCAGTAGGGAAGGCCTTGAAGGTGGATCTGGTCAGGATAAAGGTAAAGGCCTGCCAGTTGTTCTGATCCATCAGCAGGTGGAGCAGACCAGCTTTGATGACATCTTGGCAGCGTTGGGTGAAGAGAGGCAGGGTGGTGGGTCTGCTCAGGACACCAGAATTAGCCTGGAGTGATGCCTCTGCTGAGGTAGGGGTATCGCTGTCGCCATCAGGCATGGTGTCGAGCCCCGATGGAGAAGGCGACGAGGAGGGTGACATGGGTGCAGGAAACTTGGCGGCCTGCTGGTTTTCTGCTCTGTACTTACACTGGCGGTTCTCCTGCCTCACAGGTCTGGCTGCCTGCACCTTCTCCCACATCAGCCGTCTCCACTCCATGGCCTCCCATTGGTTGGCCACCCTCAGCTGGAGACGCATGCTGTTGAAGAATAAAGCCTGGAGCGTTCGTTGATCAGCGGACTGCATGATCTGGCCGGGCTGGCTGCAGGGCGCTGGTGCGATGACGCTCTGGCAGTGTGACAGCGAGTAGGCGGTGCCCAGCTTGCGGTTGGCGCTGCTGTCTAGAGTGTAGAGCCGAAGCTCGCAAGGTGTCAGCTCAACATGGCAGGGTGTCCAGCGGCCCCGGGGCCCCTCTCGCTGCTCCATCTCACCCTGCTTCACCACACTGCTACTGCTGCTTTTCTCAGCTGGACAGAGAGAGAAATAAGGCACAGACTGATGTTGGTTCAGGACAGTTACATGTGAGACAATCTGTTTATTTAGAGTTTAGAACACCTCCCCACTAGCCAACCAGTCACAGGTCAGCTGATCTTCTGTGGGAATCAGATTTTTAAATCTGTTGTTTTGAACAGGTGACTTCACCAAAGAGCATGGTCATCGCTAAGCATAAAGGAACATTCCACTCAAAAATGCACCAAAAACTGTTGAATATTAAATGTTCACCCCTGTGGGTGTAAGCAGCTACAGTTTTTGGATGAAGTGTTAATAGTGCTTCCCACCTATGTTTCTGTTACCGTCCTCCTCTCTTCCTGGTGGTAAAGGTTTCATATCTTCTCTTTTTATTTATGGTGACTTTGTTGTTTGCCTTGTTTTTAGACAATAGGTCTGATACAGAAATGATGACAGAATGACATTCATATTAAATATGTTTACAAAATGCACAGGAGTAATCACTGCTGTATTTTAATGTGAGGTTTCAAGAGTATAACAAGCAACAGCAAAAACAACTTTCTCAAACTTCCCCCATACAGAGGGCAGCAAGCTGACGGCCACAGGCTGCACATTAAGCTCCATTTGATAATTTTCACAGTACTAAACACTTGTATTTATTTTTATATATAACAACTTACAGACAGCTAAATACTTTGTTCAGCATCACCTTCAGCTCCACAGAGAGCCGACATTAAGCTCTTAACAGCCTGGACGTGCTCTTAAGGGCCCCTTTGAACACTCTTAAGATTGATCATTACTGGGAAACGGAGCCCTGATCTTTTATGTTAAACTGTTATGTTACACTGTGATAAGGTTTGTGATATCAGCTGGTTACTGCTTGTTCCACTGTAACACACTGCTGTCTCAAGCCATCTTTAGCAAAGAGGGTTCAAATCAAAACATCTAGACAAACTATTCCATCCACTTCTACGCCATAACTCTCCTGATCAATCCGTATATTCAAAATGATCATCCCTTAGCCCCCAAATTGCCAAACATGCTACCTCTGGCAGAGCTTGACAATGACAAACACACAACAGTAGGAGACTTAGTGTATTTAGCTCTGCTATGGAGAACCGATGAGTGTTTGGAGCATAAGGAGCAAAGTGCATTGTGCTGCAGAAGGGATTTCAAAGCTTTTGGTCCTGACTGACTGTAACTACCATCCAACATGAAGTCACCTTTAAAGATAACAGCCAAGGAGTGGTTGATAAGCAGCTGACATTCTGTGTGGATTGCTCCTTATTGCAGTTCCTCTACAGCTTGTATTCACACTATAGAAGGTTTTTGGAGGTTTCAGAGCACACTTGGGTTCTTGTACTGTAAAGTAAAAAGCTCCACTTTCCTAATCTGAAGGCTGGAGGTACACCCTCTCTCTGTTGTGGCCTTTCCTCTCCATTCTCCCACAGTCTGCTGCTCAGGAGGTTTGTTTTACTCTCATTTCTGTCTTTCATCTCTTGGAGTCACTCTCCTCCTCCTGTGATTATGGTGTGTTTTCTCCTTGATTAAGGAAGGTTCAGACTCAGGTGAACAACAAACATGACCTCTGCTGGGACACAAAACTGGGCCAGCTTTTATTTTGAGCTGTCCTACTGAACAAAATGTTTCATGCACAACATACTGTATTACAGAAATTGCCATAAGATCCATTAATAAAAAGGAAATGCTGCAGGTACATGGAATAGTTCAGCCACAAGAAAATTTGGTATTGTAGCAAAATGTCACAGCTACAAACAGAAAATGTCCAAGTGTTTAAACCACTGCATAACGAAAACTTCACCTCTATGCTCAATTCTTCACTAATAAAAGGAAGTGAAAGAGACGCCCGTTACTCAAAGCAGAAAACAAAAACTGGAAGCAGTAGTGTGAATCCAGTGTGGGACAGATGAAGCTATGGACTGAAATCGGGCCTTTGGATTCAGGGTCCCTCGTCTCTGGAACAACACGCCGCCTCTCTTACTGTGTTCAAATCTCTCTTGAAAACCCTTTTTAAAATAGACTTGAATGTCTTTATGGTTGTTTATTTATGTTTTTTGTGGTTCTGTTCTGTTCAAATATGTTTTTACCTCACCAGTGGTTACTTATTTCTGGTTTTATGTGTTTGTAAAGCACTTTGTAACTCGCCTTAGAGAAGTGCTATATAAATAAAGTTATTATTGCTCTGTAAGGTGTCTGCAAGTGAACTGTACCGACTTGTATGAACATCAAAATAAGACAATCATTGTTTAGACAATATTATAATCTATTATATTTCAATCTGTATCTCAGACCTACTTCACATTGAAAGTTATTGAAATGATGCTGAAACATTGGTTATGTCTATAAAAAACTGTTTTGACCTGCAAATCTATTCTAACAAGCGTCACATTTTCACCCCCCATCAACCATCCTTACAAACTGATTTAATTTCAAATCCCCACCAGAAGCAGATGTTGAATTTTGTTTCTCTAATAGAGAACCATGCTGAAGCCTTCAAGAAGGAGAAAGGAACAGCTAAATCCTGCAGCTCCTGTTAACTAAAGGCTGGTGAGTCAAGTGCGTCAGCAATCTTATTACAACAGCAGCAGACATGGCGTCGCTCAAGGTCTCGGACTTTGCATGTTAATAAACCTTTTGCTAAAGCAACAAATGAATATGCAAATAAGTTAAGCAGAAATCAGGTTTGGCTGATTGGCAGTGTTCACGCTTGGGAGGGTCGAGATGAGAATGGGGCACTGTGGCGAGGAAAACCGCTCTGTTCCATTAGCCTTCATCTTCACCTGCTAGATTTTGACATTAGACTCCAGTTATAGTCTAATATACACCCAGAAGTCTTCAACAAGACTCAACAGCTTCCTCTCAGTGCTGAAGACTCTGGCTCACTACCAACGCCCTCAAGCCGATCAAGACGCAAACCTCTGCTAGTCTTAAACAAGCAACCGTGCTGTTTTAGAATCTAACAGAGTGCCACGGTTTCCAAAACCCAAATAGACTACAAATGAAAAAGCAGGAAAAGGCACCTGAAGGAACATATTAGTACACCATCCACCTGTTCAGTGTCACAAAGTGGGCTGAACCTATCCCAGCATGCACTGGGTGAGAGGTACAGTAGGGTTCACAGTACACAGGAGATGGGGCCCTTTTAACACATCATTCCCAAAGCTTATGGTTTCAAAAGTAATTGGACAGACATGAAGTCCAATTAAATCATTATCTTTAATATTTGGTGTAACGTCCCTTGCAGTCAGTGCAGTCTTTGTCTGACTGTATCTGGTGATGCTCTCCCAGGGCTCCATCGCAGCTTCCTTTTGCTCTGACCAGAAGTCCAAGAGATATTCAGTTTGCAACAGAACTGAGAAAAGCAGCCAATGCCTGCATTTATAATTGCCAGAACCAGCGAATGGCATGTTTGTTCAACGACTTAAACATTTTGTTTTTTGGTTTTTGGTTCTGTTGCTTGACTAATTGATTCATTTAAATAACTCTTTCAATGCAAGTAACATCAGCAACTGCAGAATCAGATTTTTATTTTTCCACATACTGCCACATGGGAAAACTGTGTTGTTGTACCAACAGCAAACAGTGTCTTGTCATTCAGAGGATGACTACTATCTGATTAACTGTTATGGTTTAAAGTCTGTTGTGTAAATCTGGCTGATGACACAACTTAGTGTTTTTACAACTCACATTACACTCACAGCTGGATTAAGAGGTGCATATTTTCACAGTAAAAGTTGTGATCAAAGGCTGCTTTCTTATGTGAATCTTGAATTTGTATGAGCATAAACTAGTCAAGGAATGTCTGCTAAAAATGTGTAAGCAATACCAGAATTATTAATTACAAGAATCATAACCTACTGTACAATACTGAATACAGCCTTCAGAACCCAGTAGACAATGTTATGAGACACCAAATAGTTTTAATAAAAGCTGTTTGCCTCTATACACCCATGTATATTGAGTATATAATAACCATCATCATTTCCATTCACCATCTAAACATCCCCAGCTGTCTCTAATGGAAAAGCAAACACACCACTTTTTTCCAATGTGAGTGAAGAGACACAGCGAGGCTGAGCTAAATTATGCTGCCTTCTACTTATTATCACCCTTTTCCTAGGTCTCTCCTCTCAGTACACATGGAGCCAAACTAAATAGCTTGATGCCTTTTCACACATATGCTAATACTAAATAATCCTGCCAGTGTTAGGAGCTGGGTAATTGGGTTGCCTCTTCTCTCGCCTCATTTGAGTCCATTTGCTGACAGGATTACAGGCTATTATCCCTCAGGATCCTTTAGGATCTCCTTAGGCCTTCAGATGGCCAAAACACACAAACAAATGGTTTGTGTGTGTGTGTGTGTGCTTGTTGGGCTCTCCTCCTGAATACTGACTGTCATAGCACAGCTGTGTCATTTCAAGTTATCATCATCTTCTGTCATTATTGCTTTCTCTGAGGATGCTTCAACATAAGTACAGCATATACCCTGATCTGCAGCACAAATACTCCATGGACTTCTGTCCTACCAAAGCCTCTCAAAGGCTGAGGAAGCTTTCCAGTGAAGGGACAGTTGATCAGAGCATGAGAGGAGGAGGAGGAATGTGTGTGTCTGTTAGGTAGCAGCTGAATTTCTGGCTACAATTTTAAGATATTTTAGATTTAATGAGTTGGTTACCTGGGGACCAAAGCAACAGCAGCGCTTCACGCCACAGATGCCCAACTAGACAAATCCAATGTAGCTAAAGGGTCAGGTCACACAAATTAGAAAAGCTGCTCTCCTACCTAGCTCTAGTGATAGCTTTACTGAGCATCATTTTTGTTTTATTTCTCAAGTTTGAAATATGATCTCAGTAGCCTATGTAACAAACATATGACATTAACTGAGAATTTGTTTGGCCAAACATTTTGAACACCTCGATCCAAACCTTGTAATAAGGACAGGCAATGTGGATAAAATGTTAAAGTGCAGTATGTAATGTTATTAAAGCTGAAACTAACCCTTATTTTCACTAGCAGTTAATCTGGTGATTATTTTCTTGATTAATCAATAAACTATTGGGTCAGAAATTATGGCAAAATGCTCATCACAATCTCCCAAAACCCAAGGGTAATGTCATCAGGTTGTTTTGTCCACAGACCACTCCAGAATCTAACAATATTCCATTTACTATACTGTAAAAAAATGCATCAAACCCTCACAAATGACAAACAGGAATCTGGGAAACATTTCTGTGTAAAAAGAAAATGACTCAACTGATTAATTGGCAGCTATGTTGATTAAATTTTACACTGTGATATACATGAATATATATTGTGCTATAGTACATTTATTTAAATAATCATAATTAAATACCTAGATTATTTTTCATGTAGGACTCACGTATTTCCATAAGGGGTTAGTACTATTTATTGTCACAATGGCTTAACACATCAGGAGATGTTATATAAATTAAACGATAGCGAACTGAGTTAGAGTAAAATTTCTAACAATTTAAACATTTTGATCATCTCACAGTTTTAAATAACCCACTTAAAAATAAAAATCACCCTAACACCACTTCTAGTTTCCATTAGAAAATGCTGACAACTAATTAAAGGAAAAAGAAAATACACCAACAGGAGTGACTGTCAGAATCTACACACTATAAATGAATTTAGCGCTTACACAAACCACATACCGCCACATAGATCAGACAGTGCAAACTCTCATCACCCACTTTCTATATCACACACTGACTCACAGGGGATTTTGAACTCACTCTCTTGCCGGTGGTTGACGATCATGTTCTTCAGGGTGTTGCAGTCCACAGTGGGCAGTCCATTATCTGTCAACGCAGATGGCCGATAGTTGACGTCTGACCTGGACCGGTTGTGTCCCTTTCTGAAGGCTGAGTTGGATGAGGAGTTTGCAGTGTTGTTGGTGCACTCCTTGGTGTGGGCTGCCAGGTCATTGGTGGAGCGTGCTCGGCTTCTCTTGCCATGCCTCGGGCCCATCCCCAGCCCCAACACACTGAGGTTGTCGGCCCAGGCCAGGCCTAAGGGCCCCACCTCCAGCTGTTCTCCAGCCAGCAGGCTCCACACACCACTGGAGGTCAGCTTCCCCAGTGCAGCACTGGATACCTCCTGCAGCTGTTTAGGCTGCCACGGAGGATGGAGGTTCCCTGTCTGTGCTTGGCTTTGACCTTGGCCTTGTAACCCATCCATGCAGTGAATAAAGTCCTCTGTGGCCTCCAGGGCCGGGCTGACATCTCCCACCATGTCGAGTTGCTCAAGACCCTCCATGGCTGTGTCTTGCCCTGAGATGTCAATCTCAACTAGATGGTTTTCCAAAATGGGCACAAAAACCACGTTAGCAGCATCCACATGTCCAATAATGTCACCTGTCAATTAAAAGTCTTTTAGGTATGTGGACAAGCTAGGAAGAGGTGAAGGAGATCCAAGCAGCCGAGGCCTGCCTAGGAACAGGGCCTTCTTCCACGGTTCCAGTCTTCCTTTTCAATGGTTTCTGCCTCCTGAGGGAAAGCTACTTTACTGCAGCTTCATGCCAGAGCTAAACAAGACTGGCAGCAGCCAGGGACTCTACACATCCAGCCAATTTGGGTGAGAAGCTAGGATGCTTAGCCAGATAAACACACTTTGGCCCACAAGCACATTAAAATTCCACTGTTCAGCTGTTAATATCCAGGGGCTGGATACAAATTCTGGAGGATGTGAAGTCAAAATCAGCTTTGTTATTTGAAATCTTTGGCCTGTCAGGTGCCTGTGGGGTCATCAGATGGAGACTGCTTACAGCCTGACTGTAACAAAGGGAAGAGAGAATGAGGAAACAATAAAAAGGAAGCAGGCTGAACATAAAGGCTATAAACACAGCTGACAGTAAAAATACAGTGACAAATTTAACACAAACTCTTTTTCCAGGCACTTGGTTAAAAATGAAAGAGAGATTTTACCAAGAGAAAAGTCAGACAGGAAGATTCTGAAGCCTCAAGTTTAACAACTTCAGGCATCACACTGCCTACCCACCTACAGCATCTGCGTCCCGCTGATCCCAAAGCACAGATTCATCCTCAGCAAACAGAAACGCTCATCCTCCCTCACATGTCCTGATGAAATAATACTCGACTTCCTCCTCAGCTGCTTATCACCGGACTGAGAAGGCAGAGGATGTAGGCCTGGGTGGGGTTTGCATCCATCTGCCTGTCTCTTCTCATTCTCTCTACTCCTCCATCTCTCTCTCTCTCTCTCTCTTTCTCATTTGTGCCCTCTCACTCTCATTGATTTTTTTCTGCTCATCCAAGCTTTTACTTTTCTCAACATGTTAATTATTTAAAGACCATTACATCACTGCATCAATTCAATTTCCAGTCAGCTGGATGATGTACTGAATAATTACAAATTATCCATGTTAATTACTGGAGATAGAAAAGAGTATACTATCGCAATGCCACAGTGATTATGCTGAAACAAATTGGTTTTATTTGGGCATTTATTAGCTTATATGCATTATGCTTACACATGTAATCCACACAACTGGCTACCAAGACATTTTGTGCTTATAAACAGTACCAACATTACACTGAAACAGCTGACCCACTTGTCTCTTTTAGTGTCAAAGAATCTATTTCTTTTTAACTTACTTTCTAGTTAAAATCTATTTCCCATCTCATTCCATTAGATGGCAAACAAAAAACTGAAGCTGAGATACAGAGGTGAAAAAACTGTATCACTACATGACATAATGTTATCCATGTTATTATGTGTGTCAGGATAATAAAGGGTCTAAAAACTATCACAATTAAAACTGAATATGTTACAGTTATTCCATTTAGATTCTCATTAATTTCGCTAAATTATGAAACAGTTGCAAAAACACAAGGGTAGCACATTTGCAGACAGTAGTACTGATCACTCACACTGACTAATTCAGTCCATTCTCAATTTAACACCCTGTATAAGCCATATAGCAGCATATTTACCATGACATCATCTGCCTAGTGATACAGCAGTGACCTAACTGAGCATCATACCATCATCTGCCTACTGATACAGCAGTGACCTAACTGAGCATCATCACCATCAAGGTTAGTTACTCATCAAACACCTTACTGAACTTGTGCTGACTCACATTCTGTCAAGCAGATACAACCAACATTAGCTGGGGAAGCACCGATTGGTGTGCATTTGATCAGCGATGAAGTAAACTCCACAATTAAGGACTGAAATAATGGTTTGTGTGGAATATTACCTGGCAACTGTGGTTATTAGAAGGAAAACAGTAAAATGATCAGAAATCAAGAAGTGACTTAACTGATTCTGTTCATTAAACATTTCCCTTAAGGTTCACTCTCACCACTATTGTCTGAATGAGTACATTTTACTGGTTACATCTAACTTAGCCTGACAATCAGACTGGACTGCCATTTCATTTCACTTCATTGTGACAAAATATGAGATGTGGGCCGCAATTCAGAGGTCTGTGACAAGACAATGTTGACTAAGATTTTGTGCAGATGTGCCACAAAATGTATTTTTATAAAGTGACTGTATCTCACATGGTATTTTAGCCTGAGCGATAAATAAACCCTACTAAAAAAAATAATAGAATTTCTGTTTAATAAATGGAAAAAGTACTGTACATAAAACAAAACTATAGGGTGGGGGCCACATTCTGATTCCCTGGCCCTAATTTGTAACAACATTAATATGAGAGCATAATATAATTAAGATGAAAAGCTTATCAATAATGTAGTCATCAATAAAGTTTTGAACATCAGTTAATTAATTAACAAAAAATACTAACAGCATTATTTTTTATTTTTTAAAGGATCCTCCCTATTAGTGCCTAAAACGTTTGCACAGTACTGAATACAAACACTGTTTTTTGTACGTGTTTCTGTTTAAACAGTAGCCTGTGTAGTGTCTTAAAGCTTTTATCTTGTGTTTTACTCCGTTTTAATGCAAAGGAACAACATAGCTGTTTCTGTACCTGAAATATAAAGCTTGAATTTCAGTACAATGCAAAATATTAATTAAAATTTCAAACCTCGGGGCCGTTGTTTATATGCGCCTGCCTCTGTCCTTCATCTACAAATACACAGTCAGCATCTCTGCAGTAAACACTGACAGAGGTGAAGCCACGGTCAGCCTTTCGGTTAGCTCCAGTAACTTGCTAACATCAGCTAGCCCGTTAACACATCCCATGTATCACGACATACATGTGGTGGTTGAAATTCATAATATCGGCTAACCGTTCTGGCAGATAGATGAATAAGGCCTGTTATCCCCAGCTACTGGGATGTGAGCCGGGAGTAGTTAGCTAGCAGCTAACGCTAGTCTCTCTCCATCCTTGAACTATGTAATTATAATACAAAGTAAACCTGTTCTCTTACTCAAACAATACTTATCGTGCACCAGTGAATCTGTGCTGGAATTGTCTTGTGGTAAAAATGGTGTAGCGCAGAAGTTGTAAAACCTGACTCGAGACTCACCTTACTGTGTTTACCATTATGTCATTTGCCAGTCCGTCAGCGATAAAACGCTCTACGTGCAACTGAGGCTACAGTATAATGGTTCCGAGTAACGTTTGCATATTATACTTATACGCACTGTTATTCGTCAGTTACATCCACCACTTGAGAAAGACTTTCTTCTTTACTTACTTAGGTACAAGAAACAATACTATAGTGTAGAAGTGCATATGAAAACAGTTGTATTTATGAAGGAATCGGGTCTCATATATACAGTACACATCACATTGTTTTCCAAAATATTTTTTGATTCTTTTGACAATTAACAATTTTAATTTCAGGGCAGCATTTTTTATTAAAATTGAATAACATGTTGGTAATATGCCGAACCAATTTTGTGTTTTTTTATGTCTATTCTTCATTTTATTGCTATATGTAGTTAGAATGAGCCAAAGGCTGCACAGGGATCAAACAATTTTACCAAATTTTACCAATTTTTTACACTTTCTCAACACCTGTTTTCTGTCTTATTAATGAATTCTGCATTAAGCCAA